CGGGGATCGCAGCCCGTGCCTCTGCCTGCATGCAGCTGCGGAGCAGCCGCCTGACCCACGCAGCGGGAGCAGGGGGGACGGCTCAGCGGAGAGACGGAGCGCTCTCAGGCGTTCGCACGCACGGCCGGGATGGATCCCAGGCCAGGCAGCCACGCGCTGCCCGGCGCCCCGGGAGGTAGCTTTGGCGCTGAGCGGTGCCCTGGGCTGCGGAGCCAAGGTCCAAAAAGGTGAAGTGACCTCCAACATGAGAAAATCTCATGCGAATGCAAAGTGCCAAGCAGATGGGAATGGTGGTGACAGCTCTAGGGCCATTTTATAAAGCAAGGATTTTTAGACGGGTTACAGGTTATTTATTATGTTATAGTAGCACCTAGAAGCTCATGTCTTTTGCAAATCTCACTTTGAGGAGCTGATCTAGATGAGAAAGACAGGATGAAGGAGAAAATGCTATTTTTCTTGCCCAGCCATAGAGCTGCGCTGTGCCCTGGCCGGGCTCGGCACACGGTGGCACCTTGCTGCCGGGGTCCTGCCCGCACCTCGCTGTGAGCGCCAGCAGCTCTCGCGTTCGCGGGTCTCCTGCCGGCTGGGGTTTGCCCAAAGCAGCAGCCCCAAGTCCTGCCACCACACGGGAATTTCAGTTCTCTCGTTTTGGAAAACGCTGCCTTGTCCTGGAGAGCATCATTAGCTTCATTAGTTTCTTAATCCCCGACTTCATTAGTTTCTTAATGCCAGCGTTCACGCGCTGCAAACACAGGGATGTGGCAATAGTGGTTACGTGTGAAATGCAGGATTTGCTGCCCAGCTTTTCCAGGCCCTTGCGTGTCCGTGGGACGCAGCGAGGGCATCTGCGTGTGCCGGTCCGGGCTATACGCAGGGGCTGGAGCAACCTCCCTCGCTAGCTCTGACTCTGAAAATAGGCATCTCTGCTTTAAACACTGCCCGTCTGGCAGCTTGGCTCCTGTAAAAGGAGAAGAGAGAAGCCCTTTGGAAAAGGCAGAGAGCCCCTTGCGAGAGCCCTTAAAGAGCCCGGGGGCTGGAGAGCTGCCCACCCGCTCAGGAAACCGGCGCCTGGCCGTGCCCTGCGGCGCCCGGCAGTGCCGCTGCGCTAGGACCGCGGAGGAGGCATCGCTCCCAGCAGCCGCCACCGGGGCATGCCGAGCGGCACGGCCTCAGCTTCCCAAATATAGCCATGCACGGAGAGGCAGAGGCAGCTGGGCTGGGAGCAGGGACGGCTGTGCTTCCCCACCCCCCGCTGCCCTTTCGGATCAGAAGTCTCCCCACGGACACGCTTGGTGCTAAGGAACTAAATACGCCGCTGACGCTGCGCAGGGCGACGACGGTGGGGATGTGTTGATCCCCCCAAAGAGCCAGCGTGCTGGATGAAGCGGAAACCGCACAGCGTTAGCCAGCTGAGCGCGCAGCAAAGGCCCTCGGGCCCCAGCGCAGGCACGCAGCTCACACCAGCAAAGCTAGCAGCTGCAGGGGGCTGGAGGAACTCGTGAGCTGGGAACTTTTTACTTACTTTGGAAATAGCTTTGCAAATGAGTGCTTCACGGCTTAAGCTGTTCGGATTTTGCATTTCACTCTACATAACTCTTTTTTTTTTTTTCTTGCCCATCAGTCCATGGAAAAGTTTCTGGTTGGGGGAAGAAATATTTTTTTCCATTTGCTTGGCATTTTCCTGTATCGCCCCTGTGCGCTCGCAGTCCCTCATCCTGCACCTAGACCCTCGCAGGGAGAAAACCCTGTGTCTCGGTCCCACCGGGGCTGTGATCAGCCGTCCCCAGCGCTCCGGGCAGCCGCGCAGGGG